TTGTGCTACTAGCTGGGCCTTATAAAGGAGTTTGTTGTTGGGCAGTGGCTTGACCTTGTAGACCCAACGGGTGCCAGTTGCCTTCCTCTGTTTGGGGACTTCCATGGGAATGAAGACTTTCAATTTTTTGAGACTGTCCATTTCTCGTTCCATTGCCACCCTCCACCTACGCTGTTCTTTCTCGGGAAGCTGGAGGACATCTGTGTATGTTTTAGGCGCCATGGTAACGCTGTTGACCGAGGCCACACAGCCAATGTCCAACCTTTTGGGTGGTACACCTTTATTGGAGAGTTTTGACCATCTGGGGAATTGCCACTCACCATCATCACTGTCATCCGGAGCATCGGTGTCAGAATTGGAGCTGCCGGATGCATCTTTCCAATCGAAATGAGGTGGGCCTCTGTCCCAGGCGCTGCAAAGATATGGACATTTTGGTGAGGCAGAAGGTGTGAAGTCACCAAGGGATTGCTTGTCCAAATTGTCAGAGTCAGGTAAGGATTTATCACCATCCGGATCTTCGCTGGTCTGTAGTTTGGAGTATGTTGGTTCATCCTCTTTAGGTGGTGTTGGTAGTTCAGTGTCATTTCTAATAGGAGAATAACTGGGTTCATTGGAATGAATTCTTGATCAATTTGACTCCTCCTCAAAGGAAGCTGATCTTAAGACAATGACAAGGTTATTTTTGTCTACAAATCTAGAGGCCTTGCTGCCGGTTGCATAACCTATAAATCTGAGCCTCCTCGATGCCTTGCCCCCCTTTCTTCTGAGGTGCTTGGGAATATGGACCCAGGCATAGGAACCAAAAATTCTCAGGTGTGAGAGGTTAGATTTCCTTCCATGGACCAGGAAGTATGGGGTTTGGTTAATGGCACTACCCCATGTCCTGTTGACTAGATAATTAGCCATTTTGACTGCTTCTGCCCAAAAACCTTGGCTCATGTCGGCATCTGCAAGTAAGCAGTTCATGACATTCTGCAGCACGCCATTTCTCCTTTCTACAATGCCATTCTCTGAAGGCATTTGAGGCGATGATTTAAAATGGAGGATACCTCTCTCCTTCATCCACTTTTCAAAAGTCCTGAACTCAATTCCCCTATCGCTCTGCACCTGAGCGATGCACACCTTGTGTTGTGTTTGGATCTGGTTGTAAAGATATTTGAAGTTGGTAAAGACTTCAGCTTTGTCCTTTAAAATAAATACATGGCCATAATGAGAGTAATCATCAACTACCATTAAAAAATAACGCTCCTTGCCAAGGGAGGGCCTAAAAGGACCAACCAAATCCATGTGTACCAGCTGATAAGGGTACCTTGCACGTCGGGAAGAAACCTTAGGTATAGCAGCAGTTTTTGATTTGGCTGCCTTACAGATGGCACATTCCAAATAGGTATTACAATACTTTATCTTAAGCCCATCGGAAAAATCTTGCATTTTCCTAATAACCGGGAAGCTAGCATGGCCTAGCCTGCGGTGTAAAATATGTGCACAATCCAAATGTAAAGATTTTATCCATGCACACTTTGTCAACCTTATGTATCTTATCATTACCAGTCTTGGTCTGTGCAGTAATGACAGTAGGCACTGGATTAATGGTCACCTTAGACTTTTTCAGGGTTGGTTGATGGGTGGTTGCTCCCTAATTTCCAGGGCGGCGACCAGGGTCTCTATGGCTTCTTTGATGCTTGCCGTGGTAGGCGCGGCCTGGCAAGGGGCTTATAGGTTTGGAGTAGTCCTCTGGGCCGCTGGAGTGCTGAACTGACTGGCTGGCGTTGTAGGCCTGGACCGTGGAGCTGGGGTAGGCCTGGCTCGTGGTTCTGGCAAAGTGCCCAGGGAGCAGCCATCTTGGGGGAAGTTGGCTCCAGAAGGGAGCTGATGGCCATTTTGTTTGGTGGGAAACTGTGTGAGGGGAGAGGTGGCAGGCACCATCTTGGAGAGATCAGGCAGGTGAGTCCTTACCAGGATGGCAGGCATCTCTGGTGCTGCCTCCACAGGCCTCTTTCTGGTTGCTGCCCTTGTCTTAAGGAGGGAGACGAGCGCTGCTCAGCACTCCTCTGCAGACATCTCAGCCACTTGCCTGTCCAGGCTTTCATCTTGTCCTTCTGCCCCCTCGTCGTGAGTGCTGAAGAAGCCTTCTCCAGCATCACTTGGCTCAGCCCCTGGGATCTCTTGCTGCATCTGGGTGGCCTCTGGCTGCCAGGTTGTACCTGGATGGAAATCCCCTTCGATGTTTTCCATCAGTGATTCAGACTGGGGCTGATGTGAAGTTCTCCTCTGTTGAAGGCCTCTGGTCACAACAGGGGAGCTTCTCTCACAGGTTATTTTGGAGGGCATCTTGCCTTTTCAACAGCTCCTGGAGTGGAGTTCTGCTACCATTCCCTCTGCTACCATTCTGTGGAATTGGGATCGTAGAAACACCCAGGAGCATAGAAGAGTTCAGAGGCAGATGCATAAATAAATGTCTTAAACATATTTATTCATATAATAAATCATATTAACTATGTACAACAGAGATCAAGTCTCATGGGGAACAAACATGAAAAGAGAGAGATGGAGAGAGCGAGGTGGAAAAGGTTGGAGGGTGTTTTATACTCAGGGTAAGCCCCCCCTTTCCACATAGGGGTGGAGACACTCTCTGCCTCCACTGGTGTCTATATGACACATGTGCCAATGGCTTGCAAATACTTGACAGTATAGTTAACTAGTAGTGACCATCTCATTTTGCTCAGCCAAATCTCAGTATTCCAGGGCCAGCAGGAATGAGGATAATTAGAAGCTCTGGTTCAAATTGGGATACTGGGGAATAGATAAAGTGCACATCAAAGTGTTCTAAAATAATGAGCTACACTAGAAGAAACACTACATTTTTCTGCTAAACTTTTCCTTTGTTTTCATCACATGCTCTTCTTTGTAAATTAACATCAAACAGGCAATAAAAATCTGTTTTGTCATCAATGTGTTTGTTCCCTCTGACAAGGCATATTAGAAAATCCGTTTAGACTCTATTTCATATATATTGTCTTCATAATATATTGCTGAGAACTGTTGTTATGAGAGGAAAACTTCACTATAGCTATTAAGATATTGTTTCTATTTAAAAATTTGCACTAAAATCTATCGGGCTGTCATTACATCATACTTTTACTGCCAGTGCTTTCCATAATAACTCAATCCATAGACTGTTGAGGAGATTGGTGGTTGGAGAGAGTTAAACAGGAAATAATCCCTTATCTTCCAAGACCTAGGCTGGAAGGAACACAACTGCAAATGGCTTGGATCAGGGTGGATCCTTGTCTAATCATTGGGTGGGATTTGGTTAATAAAGGCAACTGGGATGATTGGGATTTGCATTGCTAAGTAATGTAATCATGTGTCATCGTGCTTTATGACTGCATCCTTTAGTGATGGAAATTTTGGTCCCAATTATCGTCATTAACTGAGAACGATCTGTAATTTTCCTGCAAAAATTAAAGATTAACAAGCAACATGAAATGTAATAACTATGTGTTATATGATGTTTATTTTTATTGAAATGTATGACACTCAGATATCACACCATTCACACATTGATATGTACAAATAATATAAAATAAAAAAACTTGGATTGGAACAAGCAACATAAGGGACATTGCTGGTTGGAAGGAATCCACTGATATCGAGCCAAAAGCAAAGTGGAAACGCTGACATGTAGAGACAAAAATCAAAATTGACATTTCTGAGAACCAAGTTATTAAGTGACATGCCTTCACTTAAGGGCCTCAGACCCAGCACTCTTGGCTGCGGTCATGAAGCAATCACTTGGTCTTTAAGCAGATGAAGTGAAAGAACTGCCTGATGAGTTTAGGACCCCTTCATGCATGGAGGCAAGACAAACTCCTCTGCTAACTGAGCTCAAAACTGAAAATGGCCTGGCCTAACCTCCCTTTTTAATTGTAAATTTTAAATTTGTCTAAAATTTTAGGGGTGTTTTAATCTGTTCCGGGCCAAATTTATTTAATTAGGTTTTTATACTGTTTTTAAATTTTGTAATCTGTGTGTTTTATCTCTTGGCTATTCACTGCCCTGAGTCCTTTGGGAGTAGGGCGGTATATAAATCTAATAAATAAAATAAAAATAAAAATCACAGCTCCATTCCTGCAGTCTGCTAGAAGAGTTTCTTTGGGATCTGAGTGTCAGGGCTCTGACAAATGCCCTAATTAACTCATGAGCCTCGAGTGAAAGTTTCAAAAGAAATCCAGTTATTGCTCCATTTCTGCAGTCCACCAGATAAATTCTACTCCTCTCAGCCAGCAGCCCTTTTGTTTTTCTAAAGGCTGCCTAGCCCTAGACGATGGGGGAAGAAGAAATCAAAGGTCCACATGGAGCTGAGATGCCCTCTCAGCTAAATTCTGTCCTGACAGGCAGCCAAATTAAATACTTTTCATACTTAGGCATGGTTTTTACCAACAGGAGGACATGTGTAGACACTTCAAAGATGTACAGTAAGGGTTAGGATAGTCTAATCTGCCATCAAAAGTACACAGTTTATAACCATCCTGGCACTTCATCTGTTATGCCAAAGATATAAAACCCAAAAGAGCTCCTATACCAACCTCAGAAGGCAGAGTTGTGGAACATATTATAATCCCCCTCCTACTCTTATAAAACACAGCTGTTCCTTAACTTGTCTCTTAAGTTATATCTTGGGAACTGATAAGACGCTGTAGCCTAGGGGTGTCAAACATAAGGTCCATGGGCCAGATGCGGCCCGTGATGTGGTCAGATCTGGCCCATGGGACCATCCTGGAAATTTATTTATTTATTATTTATTATTTATTTATTATTTATTTATTATTTATTATTTATTTATTATTTATTATTTATTATTTATTTATTATTTATTTATTTATTTATTTATTATTATTTATTATTTATTATTTATTATTTATTATTATTTATTTATTTATTTATTTATTTATTTAGATTTTTATACCGCCCTTCTCCAGCAGGATTCAGGGCGGTGAACAGCCGAGATAAAACAGAGCATACAAAATGTAAAAAACAGTTTAAAAGGTAATTAAATAAGTTCGGCCCACAATTTAAAACAACCCAATTAAAACCAATTTCAAATTAAAACCGAATGGATGGGATCAAGCCAGCCCGGCTAGCTGAAATAAATGAGTTTTCAGGGCCCGACGAAAAGTCTGGAGGTCTGGTATCGTGCGTATCTCTGGGGGTAGGTCATTCCAGAGGGCGGGTGCCGCCACAGAGAAGGCTCTCCCCCTGGGGGTCGCCAGCCGACATTGTCTGGCAGACGGCACCCTGAGGAGGCCCTCTCTGTATGAGCGTACTGGCCGGTGGGAGGCTATTGGCAGCAGAAGGCGGTCTCGTAGATACCCTGGCCCTAAGCCATGGAGCGCTTTAAAGGTGGTCACCAACACCTTGAAGCGCACCTGGAAGACCACCGGGAGCCACTGCAGCTCGCGCAGGAGAGGTGTCACATGGGAGCACCCCGTCGCTCCCACAATCCCCTGCGCGGCCGCATTCTGGACCAGCTGGAGCCTCCAGGTGCACCCCAAGGGGAGTCCCATGTAGAGAGCATTGCAGTAGTCCAGGCGGGAAGTGACGAGTGCCTGAGTGACCGTGCATAAGAAGTCCTGATCCAGAAAGGGACGCAACTGGCGTATCAGGCGAACCTGATAAAAAGCCCCCCTGGCCACAGCCATCATATGCTCTTCTAAAGACAGCCGTGCATCCAGGAGGACGCCTAAGTTGCGAGCCCTCTCCGTGATGGGAGTGGGCCAGTGATTCGCCCCCAATAACCAGCGATGGTACCAGCTGGCTATATCAGGATGCCGGAAGCCACAGCCACTTGGTCTTGGAAGGGTTGAGTCGGAGCCTGTTTCTCCCCATCCAGGCCCACACAGCCTCCAGGCACCAGGACATCACTTCAAGGGCATCGCTCGGGTAGCCTGGGGTGGAGATGTACAGCTGGGTGTCATCAGCGTACTGATGGAACTCCACCCCAAAGCCACGGATGATCTCACCCAGCAGCTTTACATAAATGTTGAACAGAAGGGGCGAGAGGACCGACCCTTGCGGTACCCCACAAACAAGGCGCCTTGGGTTTTATTTATTTATTTATTTAATCAAATTTCTATACTGCCCTACTCCCGAAGGACTCAGGGCGGTGAACAGCCAAGATAAAATACAGATAATACAAATATTAAAAATCCCTTAAAATTATTAAATATTTTGGCCGAAACACAGATTAAAACACCCAATTTATAAAATCACGAATTAAAAAATTTAAAAATAATTTAAAAGAGGGGAGTTAGGCCAGGCCAGCTTGCTGAAATAGAAAAGTTTTGAGAGCACGGCGAAACGTGCGCAGGTCCGGGATCTTCCGTATCTCTGGGGGGAGCTCGTTCCAGATGGTAGGTGCCCTCACAGAGAAGGCTCTCCGCCTGGGGGCCGCCAGTCGACACTGTTTGGCCGACGGCACCCTGAGGAGCCCCTCTCTATGGGAGCGTACTGGTCGGTGAGAGGCTATTGGTAGCAGAAGGCGGTCTCGTAGATACCCCGGTCCGATGCCATGGAGCGCTCTAAAGGTGGTAACCAAAACCTTGAAGCGCACCCGGAAGACCACCGGGAGCCAGTGCAGCTCGCACAGGAGGGGGGTCACATGGGAGCGCCACGTCGCTCCCATAACCACCCGCGCGGCCGCATTCTGGACCAGCTGGAGTCTCCGGGTGCTCCTCAAGGGGAGCCCCATGTAGAGAGCATTGCAGTAGTCCAAGTGGGAAGTAACGAGAGCATGAGTGACCGTATTTAACGAGTCCCGATCCAGAAAGGGATGCAACTGGTGAATCAGGCGGACCTGATAAAAAGTCCCCCTGGCCACGGCCGTCATGTGCTCTTCTAAAGACAGCCGTGAGTCCAGGAGGACAAGTTGCGAACCCTCTCCGTGGGGGCCAATGACTCGCCCCCAATAGTCAGTGATGGAACCAACTGACTATATCGGGATGTCGGAAACCACAGCCACTCGGTCTTGGATGGGTTGAGCCTGAGTCTGTTTCTCCCCATCCAGATCCGCACGGCCTCCAGGCACCGGGACATCACTTCAAGGGCATCATTGGGGTGGTCCGGGGTGGAGATGTACAGCTGAGTATCATCAGTACTTCACCCCGAAACCACGGATGATCTCACCCAGCGGCTTCAAATAAATGTTGAACAGAAGGGGCGAGAGGACCGACCCTTGTGGCACCCCACATACAAGGGGCCTCGGGGTCAACCTCTGCCCCCCTGTCAACACAGACTGCGACCGGTCAGAGAGAAAGGAGGAGAACCACCGTAGGACGGTGCCCCCCACCCCTAACTCCTCTAGCCGGTGCAGCATGATACCATGGTCGATGGTATCAAAAGCCGCTGAGAGGTCTAATAGGACCAGGACAGAGGAACAACCCCTGTCCCGAGCCCTCCAGAGATCATCAACCAACGCGACCAATGCCGTTTCCGTGCTGTACCCAGGCCTGAAGCCCGACTGGAACGGATCCAGATACGACGATTCATCCAGGTACTGGGGGAGCTGTCGCGCTACCACACTCTCAACAACCTTTGCAACGAAGCGAAGGTTGGAGACTGGACGATAATTTGCCAACACTGCCAGGTCCAGGGAAGGCTTCTTGAGGAGAGGCCTCACCACCGCCTCTTTCAAGGCAGCAGGGAAGACACCCTCACTCAAGGAAGCATTTATAATCCCCTGGAGCCAGCCTCGTGTAACCTCCCGAGAGGCCAGCACCAACCAGGAGGGACACGGGTCCAGTAAACATGTGGCTGCGCTCAGCCTGCCCAGTATCCTGTCCACGTCTTCGGGCGTCACAGAATCAAACTCTTCCCAGATAATACTCACAAGACCTGCCTCTGTCCTCCCCGCTGAATCTACCCAGTCAGAGTCCAGGTGTTCCTGAATGAGCGATTTTGTCATACAGATACTGTACAAAATCCTCGGCTCTACCCTCCAAGGGGTCCTCCCGCGCTTCCTGGTGGAGCAGGGAGTGGGTCACCCTAAACAGGGCGGCCGGGCGATTATCTGATGACGCAATAAGAGTGGCAAAATAGTTATACTTTGCCACTTTTATCGCCACCAGGTAGGTCTTAATATGAGACCTTACCAGTGTTCGGTCAGATTCAGAATGGCTGGCCCTCCAACCACTCTCCAGGCGTCTTTTCCGGCGCTTCATCTCCCTCAGCTCCTCGGTGAACCAAGGAGCCAGGCGAGATTGACGCCGGGTCAGAGGCCACAAAGGCACGACCCGATCCAAAGCTCCAGCGGCCGCCCTATCCCAGGCGGCCACCAGCTCCTCAGTCGAGCCGTGTGCCAGAGCCTCAGGAAATGGCCCAAGCTCCGTCTGGAACCTATCAGGATCCATCAGGCGCCTGGGGCGGTACCACCTCAATGGTTCCGCCTCCCTGCGGCGGGGTGCGGCGGTTCGAAGGTCAAAGCGAAGGAGGGAGTGATCTGACCATGACAAGGGCTCGATCACTATATCCCCTATCTCAAGGTCACTCAACCACTGACCAGAGAAAAAAACCAGGTCTAGCGTGTTTCCCCCCGTGTGAGTAGGGCCATGAATTAACTGGGTCAGGTCCATGGCCGTCATGGAAGCCATGAACTCCCGAGCCACCTCAGACGCCTCACTGACGGATGGCAGGTTAAAATCCCCCAAGACCATAAGCCTGGGGGTGTCAACCGCCACCGCGGCTATAACGTTGAGCAGCTCGGGCAGGGCTGCCGTCACGTGGCAGGGAGCCAGGTACGTAACCAGCACACCCATCTGCACCCCATGACCCCACTTCACAAGGAGGGACTCACAACCAGCCGTCTGAGGAACAGTGACCTCCCTCGGACCAAGACCTTCTCTAATGACAACCGCCACCCCCCCTCCCCTCCCCTGTGTCCTCGGCTGATGGAATGTGCAGAAACCGGGTGGGCACATCTCAACGAGGGGGACCCCCCCTCCTGGCCCAACCAGGTCTCCGTAATACCCGCCAGGTCCGCTCCCCCCTCCTGAACAAGATCACAAATGAGGGGGGCTTTATTTACCACGGACTGGGCGTTGCACAGCATCAGCTGAAGGCCCAGGGCCTGAGGGTCTGTGCAACCTGGGGAACGAGGGGAGGCCGGAGCGCGCCACCGCTTGGAGCCAGCGGGTGCGCGCTCCCACAACCTGATGTGGCCCCCTGCTCCCGCCATATCTGCCCCTCCCACCCACAGTACTGATGTAATGTCCATCCACAACACAAGCTCTAACCCCCTCCTTGACCCTGGTTCCTGCATCTCTAGTGCTGTGCTCTTCAGCCGGCTCTGGCCTTCTCCCTGACAGGTTCTCCCCCAAACCCACCGAACCCACCCTCCTCCCAGAAACCTTTAAAACCTTATCTAAAAATTTCCCCAAAAAACCCCACAACCCCCTCCTCACCGCATGCCACCTCTCGTGATTCCAAAATCCGTCATCAAGGTAGGCCCTCGATAGTGAGGAGGGCCAAACCTGCGAGAAGGGGGAGTCTCGCAGCGCAAGCAGGTCAGCAGCCGTAAACATCGCACATCGCACATCGGGTTGACCGCTGCCCCCTGTCAACACAGATTGCGACCAGTCAGAGAGGTAGGAGGAGAACCACTGCAAAACGGTGCCCCCCACCCCCAACCCCTCCAATTGGCGCAACATGATACCATGGTCGATGGTATCAAAAGCCGCTGAGAGGTCTAATAGGACCAGGACAGAGGAACAACCTCTGTCCCGAGCCCTCCAGAGATCATCAACCAACGCGACCAATGCCGTTTCCGTGCTGTACCCAGGCCTGAAGCCCGACTGGAACGGATCCAGATACGACGATTCATCCAGGTACTGGGGGAGCTGTCGCGCTACCACACTCTCAACAACCTTTGCAACGAAGCGAAGGTTGGAGACTGGACGATAATTTGCCAACACTGCCGGGTCCAGGGAAGGCTTCTTGAGGAGAGGCCTCACCACCGCCTCTTTCAAGGCAGCAGGGAAGACACCCTCACTCAAGGAAGCATTTATAATCCCCTGGAGCCAGCCTCGTGTAACCTCCCGGGAAGCCAGCAGCAACCAGGAGGGACATGGGTCCAATAGACATGTGGTCGAGTTCAGCCTTCCCAGAATCCTGTCCACGTCCTCGGGAGCCACAGGATCAAACTCCTCCCAAATAACACTCTCAAGACCTGCCTCAATCATCCCATCCAGATTTACCCAGTCAGTGGCCAGACCTTCCCGAATCTAAGTGATTTTATCATACAGATACTGCATGAAATCCTCAGCTCGACCTTGCAAGGGGTCATCCCGCGTTCCCAGATGGAGGAGGGAGCAGGTCACCCTAAACAGGGCGGCTGGGCGATTATCTGATGATGCAATAAGAGCGGAAAAATAGTTAGATTTTGCCGCTTTTATCGCTACTAGGTAGGTCTTAATATGAGACCTCACCAATGTTCGGTCAGATTCGGAACGGCTGGTCCTCCAACCACTCTCCAGGTGTCTTTTCCGGCACTTCATCTCCCTCGGATTTCCTCCAGTTCCAGTTCCTCGGAGAATCAAGGAGCTAGGTTAGTTCGGTGCCTGATCAGAGGCCACAAAGGCACGACATGGTCCAAGGCCCCGGCGGCCGCACTGTCCCAGGCGGCCACCAAGTCTTCAGCCAAGTCATGAGCCAGAGTCTTAGAAATTGACCCAAGCTCCATCTGGAACTTATCAGGATCCATCAGGCACCTGGGGCGGAACCAACTAATCAGTTCCGCCTCCCGGCGGAGGGGTGTAGAGGTTAGAAAGTCTAGTCGAAGGAGTGAGTGGTCAGACCATGACAAGGGTTCGATGACTATATCCCCTATATCAAGGCCACTCGACCACTGACC